GGCAACATGACTCAGGTTCTCGTGGAACATGACTTCGGGTGAGATGACTCTTGGATGACTTGATTGATTACCTTCATCATCAGTGGTCAAAATTTTGTGGACTCGTGAGGTGCAGCCAAGTATATCCGCAACAAATTATGACTACTGTAGTGAGAAATTGTTGTCGATAAGAATACAGACCTCACAAAACCTCTGTCCATTTATTTTCTACTACAATATTGTTAAATAAAATGATTCTATCAGTGCCTGACATGTTGCATGATATATTGACACAAGTAGCGTTGTCTGTACTCCTATCAACAATGGCAAATTAAGCAATCAGATTTCGACATTACACTGCCAATATTGTGGTAAAACAGAAAGTATTCTTGGGTATATCAACTATTTGTGCAATTAGTTTAGTGTGCTTGATTGAGGACATTAATTTTTTCTCTGAAATTTACGCTGCCTTGAGTAGAAATTGAATGAAGAATAAATAAACATAAAATTCTAATGGCTTGAGTCTAGTAGGATTTGGGAAAATCCATATCGTAGACCACTTTATATTTGTCTGAGGATAAGTTGTTAAAATAGAGATGGGAAACTAGCAACAGAGGAGTCATGAAGATCAAACACAGAAGAGTTTAATTCAAAACAATTACTGTCACCCTAGGGTGACATTGATCAGGCAATGGAGCACATAAAGTGGACTTCAAAATGGACTTTTCAAAGGCAGATACATGAAATATCAGTAGCACCTCAGTCGCACAACTTAGGGATTGACTATTAAATTTGTGATACTAGCTGTTTTTCTTTATTATTATCTTTTTATGTTTCAGCATTAACACAGTTTACTCCCTAAAGCTTTTTATAACCTATTGATATGTTTATCAACTACATATCAACATTATAACAATAGTCATAAGGTTCAAAATTGACATAGTACAAAAAACTCATTAGAACTAATAATCGTCGAAGCACAATTGGTTTTTCTATTTGAATTAATTCAGATGGCTAACTTAATTAATGCCTCTCTAAATGTGTGGTTAAGTAAATTAACATAAAAGGAATTCTAAATAGCTAGGCATACAACTAGCTATTCTGAAGGTTTCCTATTTTTAAAGTTTCCCCACTTTTTATGTAAAAATATTCAGTTATCTGTTATCTTAATTTTTCCTCTTTTTTTGTGAATATATTTATATGTATGTTTAGATTTTAAGGGACTTTAGGGTATTTAATTAAGGTGAAACAACCTTCACACAGCATGTTTAACCATTTATATGTATATCAATATATGTATTCAGTTGTTACCTAATTTTACAGTATCAATAGTTATCAATCACTGTTAAAGGTATTAAGATTAAGTAATAAATTTACATAGTCACTACAACAAAAGAATTTTTTTTCATTTCCGTCTTTTTCAAATTTTTTTCTCAGCTAGCTATTTATGATAACAGTATACTGAGTTGCTTTAAGCCTCAGCTGGATTCCAGCCTTAAGTTTCTTGCAGGCACTACAGTGCCACGGGCAAAGATCAGACTTGACATGGTTGAAATGTTACTTGAGTTCCCGCATTTGGAGGGAATAAGAGATATTTCCATCATGCTGGCTGTTGATCCATGTCTAACTACAAAGAGTGACAAAAATAGTTTGTCTTATAATTTTAATGCAAATAACTTTACTAGAAAGTTCCCCTCTTTCCCTCAAACAATGTTGCTTGGTAGTAATAAAGGAGAGAGAGAGAGAGAGAGAGAGGGGGGGGGGCAGGGCTTGACACCAACTTTGCAACTTACTAGCCAAGTGGCTAGTGACATCTTAGATGTTAAGACAATTTCAGTTTGTTTACTAGTCAAACTGGCCAGTGGAAGTAAAAAACCACTGGCCAAAACTGAATTTCTACTAATCTGTGGCTAGTGGTTACTG